AAGAGCGCAATGATCATACCAACATGGGCCAGTGAAGTGACGTCCTCCACAACTAGACTGAAGAACAAAAGGACAGCAACTTGTCTGTTCCCCTTCCCCGATTCCCCATCGCTGTTCCCCTCCTCCGATTCCCCAATAAAAATCTTTTTAAAAAAAGATAAAAACTGCACAGAGAATAAATTTAACTTGAATAAATTTAACTTCATAAAAATAAAAAATATAAAACTTCTACATGGCAAACAAGCCAGGAAAATTTATTTGCAATTTACATAACAAAGAATTAAAAGGTTTAATACATTAGAAGCTCTTACAAATCAATAAGGAAAAGACAAGAGCATGACTAGGACATCCACAAAAAAGAAATACAAATAGCCATTAAACATATAAACACAGAATACAAATTAAAACAAGATACTATTTTTCACTTATCAATAGGCAAAAATGAAAAATATATACAGAATTGGTGTTGGTATAGGAAAACAGCACTCTCATATATTATTGGTGTAGCTATAAATTGGCTCAGCTTTTCTGGAGAGCTTTTTAAATATAATACTTTCAAAAGACCAAATTGAGCACATTTCCTTACACAAGCAATTCCACAACTAAAAATCTATCTTAAGGAAAAAAATATGACAAGCTTGTAAAATGATAGTATAATGATGGTCAATGCATCACTGTTAAAAGCAACAAAATAGATTTATGTAATGGATTACATGTAAATATAAAAATAGCTACTGTTTATGAAGCACATATGAGCTAATTATATATATTATGTCATTTAATTGTCACAAGAACTTTGAGAACTATTATATTATTCTTATTTTCATCTGCAGATGAGAAAATTGAAGGTCAGAGAAATAATGAGATTTGCCCAAGCTCAACAATCTAGCAAGTGGCAGATACAGAATTAGAGCAAATTTGGGCTGACTCCAAAAGCTAGTGTTCTTTCATTTAGATTATATTTAATGACAAGGAAGAGAATTTTATACCATAGTGTTAAACGAAAATGCAGTTTATAGTTTAGTCACCAGGTGAGAGGGGTTTGGGAGGTTGAGTGAAAAGGTGAAAGGGATTAAGAAATACAAATTGCCAATGTTAAAAATAGTCAGGGGGATGTAAAGTACAGCATAGGGAATATAGCCAATAATATTTTAATAACTATGTATGGTGTCAGATGGGTACTAGACTTATTGGTGGTCACTTCATAAGGTACATAAATGTCTAATCACTATGATGTACACCTGAAACTAATATAATGTTGTATGTCAACTGTAATTTAGACAATTAAATTTTTAAAAATTTTAAAAGTAAATGCAGTTTATAGAAGTTGCACAGTTTGATTCTATTTTGTGACATACACACATACTTATAGATAGAAGACATACAGATTTGCATGGGGAAAATTCTAGAATATAAATAAAAATGCTAATAAAAGTTATAACTCAGATGTTACTCAGGAATTTTTTTCTTTATGCTTATTTTTCTTACTTTTCTAACAATAATAACATTTAACTTACGAATGAAAAAAAAAAACAATGATTTACACCAAATCAACAAAACCAATGCCTCTTTGAAACTGTAAACCATAGTTTTCCTTTATTTTACTCCAAATGCATTGTCCATTTGCTCCACACATCTTTAAATAAATAAATAAGGCAGATTATTCATATATTTATACTCAACAAACATGTCTTGAGCACCAAGTATGTTCTAGGTCCTGTTAAATAAATGATTTTACTTCAGCGTGCCTACATTCTCTTCTCTGCTTCAAAGTGTGGCACCAAGGGTACCCACTTTCCCTCTCAAACTTTAATTAAAACTTCTTGTGTTTGGATTTTAAGTCTTAGCCCTAATTACTGAATGCAATTAAACCCATATTAAAGGAATATCTGGCATTATACTGCCAATCCTTGCCCTGCCTCAGCGATTTTAGGCTTTCACGAGTCAATCAAATGTCTCATTAATCACCACCTCTGTACTGCCTTACTCGGTATTAGAGGTTGTGCTTGTCTGAAGTGGATTCTTAAGGTTTATTTCAGACAGGGACGGCCAGATCTCAAAAACCTGGACCCCACTGGGGTCCACCATCAAGTGCAAATTCCCCCACTTGTTAAATATTCCTTCTCCTATCTTTCCCCCACCTTCCTTACTCCCTTTCTTTCTGGAGCTCTAATTCCTAACCCTCCCATCTGTTATAAGATTATTGGGTAGTGTGATTTTAGAACCTATTCTCACTGGATCTCCTCTCCTCCCTGTAGCCCTCCAGCTATATATGTTTAATTCAACAAGAAAACACCTTGGGGCTTGAGTTTCCACAGCCAGGATAGCTCTTCCCAGAGGGGATGGGGAAAAGCTGCTCACCCTTCTTTTGAGACAGAGAAGAGGATGATGCTCTTGAAGCCATGAACTGTCAGGGAATTGCAGCGGGGTGTGTGTGGTTGGGGGAGGGGGAGAGGACAGTGTTGTGAACAGCAAACCTTTCCTCTCTACACTCTTTTATTATGAGGAAAGATCTGTATGATTTTGGTAACATGAGTGTTAGGAGGACTAAACTCTTTTTGGGACCACTAAAAACAGTACCAGCATTGTTTAAAAAGGCAGAAATTTAAAAATGGGTTAAAAAAAACCCTAAAAGTTAAAACACATCATTTGACCACATCACCACAATACCGATTAGAATCTAAAGAAGAGTAACATTTAGCAGGACCATTTACTAGCACAGTGCCCAGCGCTAACATACTCATACTGTGCGAGAGATAATTGTGATCAGACACGTCAGTGGCGGATGAAACGCGGATTTGATGTAATGGCAGTAGCAACCTCTGTTCATGTATGCGGCCCTCCTGTTTCCGTTGTGTTTTCATCAGCTACCATTTTGTTGACTAGAGCAGTGGTGGTACCTGAACGATTCGATGTCACACACAGCGCTGTGAACCTCCGCAAGAAAACAAGGAGGGTACTGCTCTAAGACCCCATTCGCAGAGCCCTGAGGTCCAGTCACTGGGAGGTGGTGATGCCCGCGTGCGGTCATCACCTCTTCTCAGGAGAAGGATGTCCGCTCCTGCTTGAATCCACACCGCGTATTGGTGGAAGCCCTCTCTAGACTGTGCCCAGAGCCGAAGGCAGCCCTTCCCCCAGCGCCACCCAGCTGACCCCAGGCCACCACTCACGTGCCAAGAACTCGTGCACAGAAGTCCGCACAAAGCCTGTGGCCATTGTTGTCGTGGTTCCCAGAAGGTCTCCTAGACAACCCAACCTGGCACCACCCACATCACCTGGCAACCTAGACTACTAATCAGGGACATGCAGAAAATGATAAAGCCTCCAGAAGTGGCTCCAATGGAATCCTTAGGACCTGAAAGCACAGCCAAGTCCTCAAATAACAGCCACACAGATCTCCAGGAAGACAACTGGCAGAACCTGGACATAGAGGAGGCAGATAACCAGAATGATCACAGAACAGCTAACCAGGCTGAGGGAAAAGTGTCCAGCGAGGCTGTACCCAACATACTTGAGCAAAGCGACCACAAATTATCTGAACACACTGTGCGCAAAACATCTGACCTCCGACCATCCCACCATGATAATGTTGCTGATCACAGAACAGCTGATTGGGTTGACCAAACGATGTCTGAACAGACGGACAGCAAGTCATCTCACCAAGCTAATCATGTAGAGTCTGAACAGACTGACAGCCAGATGCCTGTTCTATATGAACAAAGAACTTCTAGACACATTGAACACAGATCGTCCGGCCAGGATGAAAAAAGAGCTTCTGGGCGGTTTGACCGCAGGATGTCCAGCCCGGGTGAGAGAAGAGTTTATAATCAGGTTGATGGTGGATTGTCTACCTCCTCTATCCGAAGAGCATCTGAACAGACTGACTACAGAATACCTGGCCAAGCTCGACGAAGAACTTCTGAACAGATTGATAGCAGATTGTCTGGCCTGGTTGAACAAAAAACTTATAAACAACTTTTCAACCATAGATTATCTGACGAAACTGGTTACAAAACACTTGTAAAGACTCACCACATAGTGCATGACCAAGCTTCTGAACAAGCTGAACACCAGGCTGCTGACCAAACTGACAGGAGTGACCATCATCTTACAGTTGACTACAGTGACTCTAATCAGGCTGACTACTTAATATATAAAAAGGCTGATGACACAGAAGACAACTGGTTTGATTATGGAGAACATGACCAGTATGGCGGTAGAATATTTACTAGCAAGGAGGACAGAGATGCTAGCTTCAAAATACAATCCTGCAAATTTGAAGTTAGCCAAACAGGCCTCAACAATTCCAAGGTTTCACTTACATCTGACACTGAAAGTAGAAACTTTCTGCAAGCATTGAACTCATTTGGCACCGAATTCGTCAGTAATTTCCAAGCACAAGACACAGGCTTTTGTCCAAGATTCCCTGCCATATCAACCAAATTGGACTATATCAACAGTCGAGAAACAAGTCAAGTCATAGAAACCAAGCCTGTAGGTTAAAGGGGCATTTGATATCTACCTGGGAGGTTGCAGGCCTGTGATGGCGGAAGAGAGGGAGGGAGGTGGAGGGGTACTTGTTGGATCAAGGATGAGGAAATAAACCTACATATTGTGATATGTGTGACCTGTAGGATTCAGGAAGGGCAGGAGAAGGGTGGGAAATAAAAAGATGTGTTGATTTCTCTGCTACCTTAAGGCCATTCAGGAAGGATCAATGAACCAGCATCAGGAGAACTGGGTTTTAAGTCCTGGCCCTGCTGCTAACACTAGGATACTAAGTCATTTCCCCTCTCTGGGCTTCTACCAACGGAAAGAAATTTGGAGTCAACTGGAGATCCCTGTGAAGGGAAAAGTATTTGAAGTAGGTTGGAGAGGCCAAAGGTTTTTCCCAGGACTTGAGGTGCATTATATTGCCTGGAGGATCAGCCAGGCCTCTCCTAATAATGTATCTCCAATTCCTGGCGTTCGGATCTCAGCAACACCAGATTCCACTGATAATGACAAAAATAAGAACAAAACTGTCTGGGGCTTTTTGATTTATTAAGTACTCCTTGGGGGTGTTATTTACATTTCAGGATGCTATTTCAGAATATCAAGAAGGAAAGAGTTCTCATGGATACAACGAAACTTATAGGAGGCGATTCCCTTCTATAGTATATCAAGATCCTTATCAAATTTCACTACAATACATGGAGAAACACCGCATTCTGCAAATATTTCAGGTAAACCTCTTCTTCCCTTACTTTAACTGTGTGTTTTTCAGTAATTATAATGTAAAACACAAACATTGACCTGGCTTTAAAGAGATACAAGAAAGGGCCTTTGCTATAAAAGGGATATAATCTCATTGAGAAATCAGTAAATGCATTAAGATGTACCATATTTTACCAGGTATAATGTGTACTTTTTTGCCCAAATTTGTAAGGGAAAAATAAGGATGTGTCCTATACATGTGTAGTACTAATTCCACATCTGTATAAAAATAGAAAATTTATACTTTTATTTATGCTTATGAGTTAAAAAGTGTAACTCTAGAAATCAATAATGATATCCATATGCAAATATTACCCTGGAATACGATAAATCAACTTTGTTGAACTTGTGACAAACTTGCAATGATGAAGAGTTCTTGGCCTTCTATAATGCATAAATATGGTAAATTTTTACCAATACATAAAATTTCTTGTACTTTGTATCTGTTCTTGTGTTTTGTAATTATTTGTTAAATAAAATTTCTTGTACCATAATATGGTAAAAAATAAATGCTAAAATTCCTTTATAATACAAAAAACAAGTACCTAATTATAAACAAATAAAAATTTGAATTAAAAAATTAAAATGAAAAATTTTTGTCCCTGAAAGTTTGGGCCAAAAATATGGGTGCACATTATACACAGCAAAATAACATTATTAACCAAAAGTAGTAAATGACAAACACCAAATGAGTGATACCATGATATGAAGCCATTCAGAGGGATCAGATAGGTTGGTTATAGAGAAAAAATTTATCCAAGGGCTAAAGTTTAAGGCAGACTAGGAAAGAAGGACAAAATATTGGCAATTGAAAAGGAGACAAAAAGGCTTTTTAAGCCAAATATAATACTTTCAAAAGATAACCAACCTGTGACCAACTAAGAAACCACATTCTTTGGGGAGAAAAGTAGTTAAGAGTTGCTTCTAATTCTTGAACTTACAAATCTTATTGACCACAGGATATGGGGCTGGAATCTTCTTTAAAGTTTGACATTCTTGGCCACATAGAATTACAAGAGGTTATCACATTTATAAAATGTTCATTGTTTGGTGGGCTATTTTTGTTTTCCTGACATGTTTATTTTTATGTTAATATTATTATCCAGCAAGGTACATATACATATATAATACATGAGTATATGAAGTAACTTTGTGGTTAGAAAGGTGTAAGATAAGAATGACCCACCTCAAATGAAAACATTTAAACTGGAAAAGTTTAGTTTCAAGAAGTAGGGTATAATGGAAAGAGCACAAACTTTACACATTTAGTCTAATGCTCCAACCTAACTTTGCCACTTTTCATCTTTGTTATTTGGGGAAAATTATGTAGCTTCTGTGAATCTCAGTTTCCTCACATAAAATAAGGATAAGTGATATTTACTTCATTAACTCTGCTTTATGCCTTTTCTTTCTCAAAATGTTCTTTTTATGGGAGAGCACGAATGGCTGGGTTTCCTGGCTTTAATTAAAGAAAAGCTGAAGGATGAAAGCTTTTGAAGAAAGTAGAATTCTAATCATTCCATAAATAAATATGTTCATCTATCAAGGAAAAACAAAACTTACGCATGCAATGCTATTATAAGAAAAATTAGTTACCCTCTATGTATTCAATGGAAACATATATGAAATACATAATGGGTATGGGTACATTAAACAGACCTAGAATATTTTATACTTAAAATTTTCCCTATTGTTATTCCTTACAAATGAGAATTGTGCTTACTTTATTATAATTGGGGGGGGGGGGAGGCTGTTATTCAACAACAACAAAAAAGCATAATAGTGAATCTCTGAAGTTGTATATATGCTTTCTCATTTTTTATTATAATTAACATCATTTTTGCATTTTAGAATCAAATGTCTCAGAAGGAAGATTTTATATAAAATCATATAGTCTTTTTAAAATTTTACTCAACATACTTTTCTCTGACTATCCTTCAAAACAAATAATGTTAATTTCTCAATCTAGCAAAATCACAATACTCAAAACAAAAATTTTCTCCAAAACTTTCTCACTACCTCTTTGATTTTGGAAACTAGAAAAATATCCATTGCTACTTATTACTAAATTTTTATTCTTTTGAATATTACCTTAATTTGCCTAATTTTATCAGTAGTGAGAAACGAATTTGACACTTTGTAGAGATATATCAATTTCTTTAAAATGCTATGGTACATGTTCGGTTAGTGCAAATGATTGCTCCAGATATCACCCAACCACATAACTGTAGCTCAGAACCATAATGCAATGCCTTATGCTCTCTCTCTCAGCAGATCACTGAAAACTTAGTCTATGAAAGGCCAGAGGACCCCCTGAGTTTTATGCTGTGCCAGGTATGGAATAGGAGGAAAAGAACAACCTTTTTATCCTGTTTATTATAAATATAGCACACAAACAAGTATAAAAAAATATGTACAACTCAGCAAATTATCATGGAGTGAGCAAACCTATAACTACCATTCAAGTTTAAAAAATTAAAACATTGCCAGCAATCCCAGAAGGCCTTTCTTTCCCTCAGTTGTTACTCCCCATAAAGGAACTATTATTCTGACATTTATGATAATGAATTCCTCACTTCTCTTTATAATTTTACATTAACCATGAATCATTAAACACTCTTGTTTAAATTCATCAACTTTTTCAACTTTATATAGAAGGAACCATACAGTAGGTTTTCATTTGTATCTGGTTTCTTTTGCTCAAAAGTATGACTGTGATATTAATCCATGCTCTTGTGTGTGGCTGTAGTTCATTTTCATTGCTGTATAGTATTCATTGTGTGAAATGTCACGATTTATCCATTCTATGATGGATGTGGACATTCAGGTTGTTTCTGGCTTGGAACTGTTGCAAAATGTTTCCCTATAAACCTTTGTGTACACTTCTCTTGGTGCACATATGCACACATTTCTCCTGAGTACATACCCAGAGAGTGATTGCTGGATCATAAAGTATGTGTTTGCTCAGCTCTGGTAGGTTATTTCAAACAATTTTCCAACACAATTATACTAATTTACATTCCCAACAGCAGTTTGTCTTAGAAATCCAGTTGTTTTACACCTTTACCACTTACATCCAACACTTATATATTATCAGTCTTTTTGGAATTAGCCATTTTGATGGTAGTTAGTTATAAAACATTGCAGTTTCAATTTGTTTTTTTCCTGATTACTAAAGCAGTTGCATACCTTTTCATTTGTTTATTGACCTTTTGGAAATACTTCTTTTTCTATTGTATTGTTTGTCTTATTTTATTCATTTGTAACAATTTTCTATATATTCTGGTTGTGAGCTCTCTTTTTTTTTTTTAAGATTTTATTGGGGAATTGGGGGAGGAGAACAGCATTGGGAAATCATGGAAGGGGAACAGACAAGTTGCTGTCCTTTTGTTCTTCAGTCTAGTTGTGGAGGACGTCACTTCACTGGCCCATGTTGGTATGATCATAATGCTTTTGCCGGGTGAAACAGTCACTCGCTGGCCATTGGACAGCTGCTCACGGCAGCTCACAGCGGCTGCCAGCCACTCACGGTAGCTCACGGCAGCTCACTGCAGCAGGGGCTGCAGCCTATGCCGTCACTGGTGACTCATGGCAGCCCAACTCCAGATTGAGCTGCTGTTCACCATATTAGCTATAGAGGACGCAACGCCACTGGCCCTCATGTGGGATCCAAACCGGGGCCCTGATGCTCAGAGCTGGTGTTCCAAGCCAACTCTTAACTGATGCCACTCAGCCGGCCCATGAGCTCTTTTTTGACTGTGTTTGTTACAAGTATCTTATTCCACTCTCTCCCTTTGCTTTTTATCTCTTAAATGTATCTTCCAATAAACAGAAATTCTTAATTTTGATATAGTCAAGTTTAACAGTCTTTTCCTTTATGAGTAGTACTTCTTCTGTCCTATTTTAAAAGTCTTTCCTTAGCCCATACTCCTGACTATAATCCCCTATATTATCTTGTTTTGCTTTGTTTTTTGGTAGGAGTTCCTCATATATTTTGGAGATTAACCCCCTATCAAGTATGTGGTTTGCAAATATCTCCTCCCATTCTGTAGGTGACCTGTACACTCTGTTAATTATTTCCTTTGCTGTGCAGAAGCTTTTTAGTCTGAGGTAGTTCCACTTGTTTATTTATTTATTTTTGTTGCTTGTGCTTTTAGTGTCATATCTATGGAATCATTGCCAAGACCAATGTTATGAAGCTTTTCCCCTATGTTATTTTTCTAGGAATTTTAGTTTTAGGTCTTATATTTAAGTCTTTAATCCATTTTGCTAATTTTTGTGTATGGCATAAGATAAAGGTCTAAATTTTTTTTTTTTGCATGTAGTTTTCCCAGCACCATTGTTATAGAGATAATCTTTTCCCCCTTGTGTATTTCTGGTACCCTCATTGAAGATCAGTTGACCATATATGTATGGATTTATTTCTGAGTCCTCTATTGTGTTCCATTGGTCTATATCGGGGTCAGCAAACTGCAGCTCGCGAAACACATGTAGCTCTTTGGGTACATTCCATCTCTAAAGTTTGCCAACCCCTGGAAGAGCCAATCCTGTCCCTCACAACAATTTAAAAATTATTCAAGGACCATAAATATATTTTTAAATAATCACCACTATGTGAATAATATCCTTTAAAAATATTACAAATGAAACTATGATCATTTTATTTTCATTTTGAATTTTACTTCCAAGCCACATATGGCTCACAAGCCGCAGTTTGCTGACCCCAGCTCTTTCGTCTCAAAAGTTTGCCGACCCTGGTCTATATGTCTGTTTTTATGCCAATACAATATTGATTTGGTTACTACAGTTTTGTAATATATTTTGAAAAAAGGAAATACGATGTCTCCATCTTTTTTCTTCTTTCTCCAGCTTAATTTGGCTATTCAGGGTCTTTTGTGGTTCCGTATGAATTTTACAATTTTTTTCTACTTCTATTTTTTAAAAAGTGCCATTGGGATGTTGTCGGGGATTGTACTGAATCTGTAGATTGCTTTGAATGAGATGGACATTTTAACAAAATTAATTCTTCCAATCCATGAACATGGGCTATCTTTCCATTTGTTTGTGTCTTATATAATTTCTTTCACAAATATTTTATAGTTTTCAGTATACAAGTCTTTCACTTCCTTGGTTAAGTTTATTCCTAAATAATTTTATTCTTCTTTGCTATTGTTAATGGGATTGTTTTCCTAACTTCCTTTTTGGATAGTTTGTTATTAGTGTATAAAAATGCAACTGATTTTTTTGTATGTTGATTTTATATTCTATAACTTTACCTAACTCATTTATTATTATGTAGGGCTTTCTATAAGATCATATCATATCATCTGCAAACAGGGACAGTTTTACTTCTTTTCCAATTTTGAACGACCACTGGGTCAAAGAAGAAACCTAAAAGGAAATTAGAAAATACCTCAAGACAAATGAAAATGAGAACACAATATACCAAAATTTATTGAATGCAGCACAAAAAAAAAAAAAGCATTTTAAGAGGGAAGTTCATAGTGATAAACACATTTAAAAAGAAGAAAGATTTCAAATAAACAACCTAATTTTCACCTGCTGGAGCTAGAAAATATACAAACTAAGCTCAAAGTTATCAAAAGGAAGGAAATAGCAAAGATTGGAGCATAAATAAATAAAATAGAAAAGCAATAGGAAAATGAAACTAAATGTTGGTGTGGTTTTTTTTTAATTTGATAAAACTGGCAGGCCCTTAGCTAGACTAAAACAAAAAGAGAGACGACTCAAATAAAATTAGATGTAAAAGAAACATTACAATGGATGCCACAGATATAAAAAGGATCATATGATACTACTATTTACAATTTATTAAATGCCTACAAATTGGATAACCAAGGAGAAAAATGGATAAATTCCTAGAAACATACAACCTACCAAGTCTAAATCATGAAGAAACAGAAACACTGAACAGACCTATAACTAGTATGGCAATTGAATCGGTAATCAAAGGCCTTCCAACAAAGAAAAGCCCAGGACCAGATGGCTTCATGGTGAGCTCTATCACACATTTAAAGGAGAATTTACATCATTCTCAAACTCTTCCAAAAAACTGAAGAGGAAGGAGCACTTCCAAACTCATTTTGTTAGGCCAGCATTACCAATGCCAGACAAAAACACCAGAAAACTACAGGCTGATATTCCTGATGAATATAGATGAAAAAATATTTGGTTGTCGGAAAAGTCATGATGCATTTTTGCAATGAAAAACAGAAAAAATAAGTTACGACTTTTCCAACAACTCAATACTTTTAGATTGTATCCTGGACATGGTGAATATTATGTTGTATAGGCTGAGTTCTGGACACATGTTGATGTTTTGCTTTAGCTGGCAGTTAACATGGTTAGATTCAATTTGTAAGCACTCTTGCCTTCTGTGGTTGCTGGGCCATAGGTCAGGTCAATTCTTGAAGCCTTTGCTGCACTACTTTGAACCTGTCTTGTGAGTGTGTGATTCAGGGCTCAGCCTGAGTCTTGTGCAAAGTTCATACACAGAATTGAAGAACCTCCTTCCCTTTTCTAGGTTTCCCCTCACTCTTCAGCATCTGGCCATACTTGACCAGGTTACTTCTTTTGATTCTTCATTCAGGAAGACAGTGGGCTTTCTGTCAGAGTTTTAGGTGTTTCTGTGAGTTTTAGGCACAGCTGTGGCTGTGGCTGTGGCTGTCAATGGGTCAGTTGCAAACAAATGAGGAATTCATTCCATGTGGGTCAGTTGCTCCAATTTTAGGCTCCGCTCCAAACTCTGCCTGCCTTTCCTTAGTTCCAAACCTTCCAGTTGTTGTGGAATTTTTTGTTTTGATTTGATTTTTGGTTTGGTTTTTTTTGGTTTTTTGGGGGGTATGGGAGGAGATTGTATTTTGCCCATATTACACAGTTGTTATTTGCAGGATTTATTTTTTTTCAAATGCTTACTTTTGCATATAAGAAGCAGATCCTTTTATATATAATATATGCATTTAAAGTTTTCTTACATAAATTTAAATAAGTAGTATTTTCACTTCATGTAATTAAAAAATAGTTTTTAATTTTCATTACGATTTCTTCTTCAACTTCTGGAGTTTTGGACATTACAATATTTATATAAATCATCAAATATTGGCTTTTCTAGTTGCCCTTTGGTTAATAATTTCTGTTAATTGCACTTTACTCATAGAACAAAATTTCAAATCTTTAAAATGTGTTTGCCTTGTTTTATAATGCAGCATATGGTTAGTTGCTGTGAATGAATTAATTGGGGTTGAAAAAAATATTTATTCTGCAATTATTGGAAAGTATTCTAAATATATCCATTAGATCAGATCTGCTAAATTTGTTGCTCAAGTCTTCCACTATGATTGTGAATTTGCCTAATCCCTTATAGTTCTGTCAATTTATGCTGTGTATGTGTAGTTAAGGCTATGTTATTAGATGTGTATTAATTTAGAATTCTTATACCTTTCTGGTAAATTGAACTTTTTATCATTAAGAGGTATAATACAAACTCTAATTACTCTGGTCAATATTTTTATAGCTATACCAGATTTATTTTAAGGTGTTTAAATGTATATGTTTCCATTTTTGTTACTTTTAACTTTACTCCTTAAGTTTTAGATGTCTTTCTAATAAGTAGCATGTAATTTTTATCATTATGAAAATCTGATAAGCTTTTAATTGAAGCATTTAGTCCACTTATATTTGATGTTATTAAAGGTATATTTGGTTTACATCTATTTGTCCTAAATGTTCTGGGGTTTTTCCTCTACTTTTTGCCTTCTTTTATCACTCCATTTTCCTAAAAACTTAGAAGTTATACTCTCTTAATTTTGTGGGGAGGGGTTTCACACTGGGGTGACTTTTTTAAATGAATAGGCCTTATATTTTAGAGTAGTTTTAAGTTTACAGAAAAATTAAGCAGAAAGTACAGTGAGTTCCCATTTACTCCTTTCCCATTCCCCTATTCCCACACCTCATTTCCTCTGTTGTTAACATCCTGCATTAGTGTGGCAAACTTGTTACAGTTGATGAGCCAATACTGATACATTATTAACTGAAGTCCATGGTTTACTTTGTGTACTTTGTGTTGTACATTCTATAGCTTGTGAAAAATGTGTGTGATATCTATACTTACTATATCTATAATTACATTATCATACAGAATAGGGTCAACTGCCCTAATATCTTCTATTTCCCCTAGAGATTACAACATGTATTCTTGACTTAGCAAAGTCTAAATTATTTGTAAGAGTTCAGTACAAGGACTTCTGTATTTTCAATTTCTACATATTTTAACATCACAAGACATGATAATTCCAAGTACACCAAAATTGTAAGTGGACAAAAAGTTCTTTTTCACTCTTCTCAGGTACAAGAAATGATAAAGAACAGAGATGAAAGAGCGACCTACAAAGAATGAATCTGTCCTCAACATTATTTACAACTATCAGTGTTAACGCTGTGTTGTTTCCCACTCTGAAAAATGGTTTTGAATGGTCATTATAATGACTCTGCCTAAATGTGTTCTTAATTTTTAAGCAAAAATCAATAGGGCATCTTTGTAAAATTCACATAACAGTTAAAGATACATCTGGCTAATCATACAAAAATATACATGTTATACTTATCCTTGCATTGATATTTCAATATTCATTCCTTCTTAGTGGGAACAGTCCAATTTGGTACATGAAGGATTACAGTAACTTCTTTCTAATAGCTGTTTAAAGAAGTGATTTGGGAAGTGAGCAGTTACAGGTTACTGTTACATTTGTGCCTTACCCTTGACTACTAACAGTATGAGTCAATTGCATTCTATTAGTGTTCTTAGCAGCAAAGATGTATAATTGATTGTTGGTGTTGATTGAAGATAGTCCAATAAGCAACTGGAAGTAAAGTGCCTCTGTTCAGTTTCAAAAAAACAAATACTCATTTCTCCAAAGTACTGAACAATGACAAGTTCACAAATCCCAAAGAGGATCAAGAAAAGAACATTAGTAATTTGTATGCAATTCTCCTAAAGCATTTAAATCTATCATGTTTCAAAGCTGCTTATAAAATTTTCTACCAGAAAATGTGTGGAAAATAATTTGAACAACACTTTTTTTCTCTCTTAATGGAAGATAATTATTGTAATAACTCTTTTCTTGTTTCTTAATACCGCCCACATATTTTTACTATTTTCCTCTTTGACTCTGCCTGTTATACGAGTATTCTGCCTTTAGTGGATGTAATTTAATCTATTCCTAGGGACAGCTCCCTTTTGATTTTTAACTTACAGCAACATTCAAACATGTATACTACTATGTACACTCCTGTGGGAGAGGCAGAATGTCACTTTCTCATTACCTTTATCCCCTGAATAGTATCTACATCATGTGGAATGTGTAACCAGTTGAACTGGTATTTAAAAACAAAAAGCCTTAATGAGGTCTGTCTGCTATGAGAGTATCTGCCCATCAATCATAACTGAAGTGATCATCTGATACTACTTTTGTGAGCTGAATCTTTCATTTAATTTCTATTTGGGCATTAAAGCAGACTTGATTATTTATATTATTTAACTGGTGACTTGGTGTGATTATGTGGTTGCATTAAAATGAATTAAGCTTCTGCTTGAATAATCATACACAAATCTTATTTTTTATACCTGAATTTCATTTCTAGTAATTATACCCCCCAAAAAAATACCCTGCTTATAACTTCAAAGTTTATTTAGTATTTCTTTCAATTACCTGAAAAATGTGCATATGCTCAGACTCAATAAATGTTCTACACGCAGGCAGCTCATGTGTTGACTGTAAGCTGGCAAAACTAGGTGAAAGCTGATAAATTTGCAGTGAACCTATGGGAGAAGTTTAAGTGACATGACTGAGGATACAATTAATCAGTGGGTTGAACAAAATAACCCAAAGATTGAAGGGCCAACTATATTATTGTTGATTAAAATGATTAAAAACTTGGATGTTATCAATAACAACTGAAATTAAGTATTGAATTTAGTTCACTGGTTTCAGCCCTAATACCAGACAGTATGAATATGTCTATTAAAGCAGAACACCTCAAACCAGACCACACCAGCTACTTCAGCCCTTCTCATTGGCTTTCTGTGATACATTTCACAACTGTCATTATGACCTTTCACAGTGAGGCGTGGACCAGTGGGCCACTGGGATGCTTCAGTGATCCTGTCTAAACATGTTTGAGTAAAAAAAGAAGAGGGAAAATGGAGATCAAGCCTTACTTTCAATGAGTCTGGCTCTGCTATAAGAATTGTCTAGTACAGAATATCAATCAATTACAAGTACTTATACTCAGTTCTTTGTCCTTAAGTGGTAGGATGTAGTCCCAGGCCAGGAGCAAACAGTAAAGGTGAAAATCTGGTTCCAGGAGGCTGTATACCTATGCTTGAATTTTCATGTCAATTATTTGCTTGGGAACATTGTAAGGCTAAAACTCAGACAGAGATAACTGTGTTTTTATGAGTGTCAAACAATACTAGTCTCCCAGTGCTTTATTAGGTTCTCAAAAGATTTCTTTTTCTTGTAGCGTTCACAGGATTTGAAACAAGCTAACATTAGAGAGCAGTAGTGTGGCCTTTTATTATGAACAAATAGGATTCCAGTAGGCATAGTTGAGTTGTTTGCCTAATTCTGTGTTGAATTTTTTTTTTCTTAAGAAAAAGCAGTCCTCCTCAAACTCCATTAAAAATACAGTAAATATTTACAAAAAGAAGTATATGCATTGTAATACTCAAAGCAGGAAGGAGAGAGACCAGTGAAATTTATGATTTCTGAAAACAGAAAGCACATGGGATAGCAATGACAGATAAACCAGGGCAAAAGCCCCACCTCAGAACCCACAAATGTGGCTAAGTGAAGGGAAAAGACATTTTTCCAGGCAGAGCCTCAGAGGGTTACAAGCTCAGTGTGGGCAGTTACAGGAGAAAGGAGTGAGCTGTGACTAACAAGTGACTCCTCCTTTCTAATGACCTTTATACTCTATTTTAGTCACCTACCACCAGAGCCACACCTTGTCATCACCAAAACTACCCCACAATGAAACATTCATATAGACAGATTATATTTCCACTAAACCTAAAGAATTTTAAAGGAAAGATTTGTGTCAAATTTGTATAACAAGAAAAAAATGGGATAAATGTCTGACCACAAAATTGTTCAACCACGGGTTGATCAAATAAATTGTAACACATCCATGCAATGAAATTTTATGCATCCAATTAATGTTACTTTAATTATTGTTTAATTATTTGGATGCATATAGTTGGATCTACCTCATATCATAGAACAACAGACATATACATACATAACAATATAATGCTGAAGCAGAAGTCATTAAGGAAAATATTTATATAATTGACATGAAATGTATTTTATATCTTAAAAATGTTGAAAAAAATATGTTTTAAAAATGTTAGGAAAGGGGCCAGCTGAGTGGCTCGTTGGTTAAGAGTTGGCTTGGGAGTGCAAGCTCTGAGCAGCAGGGCTGCCAGTTCAGATCCCACATGGGCCAGTGATGCTGTGCCCTCTACAGCTAAAATAGTGAACAACAGCTCGACCTGGAGCTGGGCTGCCATGAGTCGCAGGCAACTGACGTAGAATGCGGTGGGGCTGCAGTGGGCTGCCATAAGCTACCTTGAGTGACCAGCAGCCAGCGTAAGCGGCCGGCAGCCAGTGTGAGCTGCCATGAGTGGCCATCCAATGGCCAGCGAGCGACTGCCGCACCCGGGAAGAGCTCAATGATCACAATACCAACATGGGCCAGTGAAGCAACGTCCTCCACAACTAGATTGAAGAACAAAAGGAGAGCAACTTGTCTGTTCCCCTTCCCCAATTCCCCAACACTGTTCCCTCCCCCAATTCCCCAGTAAAAAGATCTGGAAAAAAAAATGTTAGGAAGAAGGCAAACGATTAACTGAGAGTAATAGTTGTAATGAACATAGCAGGTCAATATCCTAAATCTGTAGGGCCGGCCGAGTGGCGCGACGGTTAAGAACTCGCTTGGGATGCCAGAGGGCCCCGGTTCGGATCCCACATATGAGGGCCAGTGACACTGCCCTCTACAGCTAAGATGCTGAACAACAGCTCAACCTGGAGCTGGGCTGCCGGGAGTCGCCGGCGACGGCTGGGCTGCAGCACCTGTGGCAGTGGGTTGCCATGGGCTACCATATGTAGCCAGCAGCCAGCGTGAGCGGCCAGCAGCCGCAGTGAGCAGTCGTCCAGAAGCCGGCGACTGATCTGCCTGCCAGAGAAGAGCGCAATGATGGTGCCAACTTGGGCCAGTGAAGCGACATCCTCCACAACTAGATTGAAGAACAAAACGACAGCAACTTGTCTGTTCCCCTTCCCCCAATTCCCCAGTGCTGTTCCTATCCCCCTAATTCCCCAATAAAAATCTTAAAAAAAAAATATCCTAAATCTGTAACAGGTTCCTACAAATCAATTTTAAACACCATAAATATCCCCAATTAAAGAAGAGGGCTAAGAACATGAATGGGAAACTTACTGAGGAAAATATGTTAATAACCAGAGAAGTATACATTAAAACAAAAATTAGATACCAATTAAATATCTTTTATAGACAAAAATGTTTAAAGATGGTACCTAAACTGACTGAAAGTGCAGAGAAACGGGCACTTTTCTTATACTGTCATAAGAGATAGACACAACCTCTCTGGAATACAATTTGACCACATGAATCCAAAAACTTTAAAACCAACATGGCCTTAAATCCAAACAGAGTTGCTTTATCTTTTTGAACTTCTAACCAGGAAGTAGTGGAAACGAGTGAAGGGCGAGGGGGGCTGGCTCCTGATGGAAGTGCACTTTCAGAGCTAGATTCAGAACTGAGCTCTGGATCTAAGCCGTGGAGTCTTCTAACATAACTGGTCAGGCCAAGGAGGAGACAGCGGTGGGCAGAAGTAACTGAGAAGGAACAACCAGAGAAACAGGAGAAGGACTAAGAGAACATGGTATCATGGAAGCCAGAAGAAGAAAGTGGTATTAAAAGGCTAGAGTCCTCAACTGCATCAGTTGCTGCTGAGCGACCAAATAAATTGAAAACAAAGAAGTGTTCCCTGAATTTGGCAATATAGAGCTTGTTTGTAGCTTGACCAGCAGTTTCAATGGAGTGGTAAGAATGGAGGCAAGATTGCGTTTGGTTGATGGTTTTATAGTGTCTAATAGATAAAAACAAACTGGTTGATTAGGAAAAGTATAACTGTTCCAGATACTTAAACCAGAGGTCATGTTTTCCACTGGGATCTCTTACAGTTGATTGGTCATGACATTTCTCAACAATATCTCTATAACACAATAAACACAACTTTCATAGACTTGCCCCTTAATGTTGGACATCCGAGATATGTATAGGCTTTTCTTCACTGGGTGAAAAATTGGGCTAACTGATTATTTTATCTAGAATATGATTATTCCATGTGATAATTCCATATAATAACCATAAATGGTTATTGAAATGGGTTTAAGTCCCTTCCAGTTGTAAGAGTCTATAAATACCCCCTTCCCTGGGAAAGGGCTAGACTTGCTTTCAGGAGTCATCTTTCAATGGTCGTAATCCTAATGCTTAACTTAGTTCGGAAAATATATGAACTAAGTTAAGCATTTATCATCCACAGGAACAGAAGAGGATATGAGAATGTCAATTAATGTTGAGCAAAAGTATTGCTGAGTAAAACAGAGGATCCATTAAAGGTCAAAAAGACAACTTGTACATTTCAGTAAAATTTGCAGAGAGTCAACACCTGCTGGAGAAAAAGCAATGTTCAGAGGGACTAGAGAGTTGAGTAGACCTGGGCACTTCAGGAACATAGTTTTCAGGTTTGGTCCAGTAGTTTTTAATATGGAAGCTGAGCTTTAATGCCATTTAGAAAGCTACACTGATTGTCTAAAGACACTCAAGCAGCGTAGCCTATATTTAAGAGTGCAGGCTGTGAGGACAGACCAGCCAGAGTCTTTACCTCTAAATAGCTCTGTGACCTGGACAAGTCAACCCCTTCAACCTCCAGCTTCTCATCTGTAAAATGGGGAGTGATAATAGTATATACTTCACAGGGCTCCTGTAAAGAGTAAATCTGACAATGCCTGGGACTTTTAGTAAGTACTGAAAATACGGTACTTACTAAAAGTATTTTGTACAACATCATGGTTTCAGAAATCTTTTTTCCTGAAACTGGGAATTAGAGCAAAATGGATTATGTAACCCACATTCATAATTCAGAAAACTTCCACCCCGTTGACACTACAACTTCTTCCCTCTCCCACAAAAAAAGGGGGGTGGGATTTTAAGTGAGGGGTCTGTTTAAGGAGTGCAGTGTTAGTGTATAGAAACATCCCAGTGGTTTCTTGTTCCAGAGATTAGAGAGAAAAGTCCCGCGAGAGTTGGAAAGTTTGAGGATGTGTATAGGACCAACATCTTGGACCCCAGTGAGAAATCACATTCATCACCAGGCTTGTTACATCGTCTTGGAATGACCACAGAGAAGGAAAGTCACTGGAGGGTGATGGTGCACTGGGATGGCCAGCCAAAGAGGGAACAGGTATACCGCCCTTTAGTTCCAAGTTCCTGAAATATACTGAAGTTGGATCCAGCTTAAGAACTGGGGTCCTGGAGTATAGATGATTTTGGAGGATGCAAACTGGCTGCAAATTCATAAAGAACACCCTCTGGTGCTTAGGGGAGTTGACTGGGGTTGGGCGAGACCTCTCATCAGCCAGACCTGTACACCATCCACTGTCTATACTGAGATTGCTGGCTGTGAGCCAGATGGTAGGTGGTGGTGATGACCAAGAGAAAGAGACAGCAGCCTCTCCTGGGCCAGTCACCTAAGACAACATTGCTTCGCTCTCAGAGGAGTATATACAGAGAATTGGGAGGGAGGTTATTGGAGAAAAGACCCCCTTCTTCCTTCCCCAGCCTCCCAAACCACTGGAGTCTGAAGTCTAAACCATAGTGTTAGGAAGAAAATACCTAAGTCTTTCTAACTGAACTGAAATTCTTAGTAATGAGTATTCACTGATAAGCTTTGGAATTGAGTTAAGATGTGGTTAAGAAAAAAGGAAAGATTAGAGGAACACAGTTAGAAAACAGTTACTGAAAAAATAAATCAGACTTGTACGTTAAGGACCTGAAACTCCTGATCTGATAAGTTGCAGTTATTGTCTGAAAATTATTATTCTTTTTCTTACCTAGTCTCTTGTTTCTTTTTATGGGGTCTGTGTTCACATTATCTAATTTGAAAAGATTCATGTTTATTTTGTCCCTGCATAATCCGAGTAATAGAATGTAAATGCTTAAGATATGAAAGGAGACAAGTCTCTGTTTGTTTCCTTGCTACTTTATCACAAAGATTTCCAGAAGAGCACACGTTTTTAATAATTTACATGTTTCTCTTTTTATAGTTGTAAAAATCGTAACATGGGAACTCAAAAAAAAAAGTCATTCACATTGCATTATCCAGATACAACCCTGTTAATACTTACTTTACATTCTTCCTTTTTTTTTTTAAGACTTTTTTTTTTAATTGGGGAATTGGGGGAGGGAACAGCATTGGGGAATCAGGGAAGGGGAACAGACAAGTTTCTATACTTTTTGTTCTTCAGTCTAGTTGTGGAGGATGTCACGTCACTGGCCCATGTTGGTATTGTGATCATTGTGTTCTTCCCGGCTGAGGCAGATCGGTCGCCGACCATTGGACAGCCACTCAGCTGGTCGCTCATGCTGGCTGCCAGCCACTCACGGTAGCTTATGGCAGCCCACTGCAGCCCCACTGCAGCCTACGCCGTCCCCAGCGACTCACGGCAGCCCAGCTCCAGGTCAAGCTGTTGTTCACCATCTTAGCTGTAGAGGATGCAGCATCACTGGCCCATGTGGGATCCGAACCGGTGGCCCTGCTGCTCAGAGCTCGTGCTTGCAAGCCAACTCTTAACCAATGAGCCACTCAGCCGGTCCCCCTTCCTAACTTTTTAATTCATATATACCTATATACACTTTTTAAAAAACTAAAGTGTGTCCAATTGTTCAAACTGTTTTGTAACCTGTTTTGTTTTTTTCACTTTTAGCACTTAGAAGAATGCTTGGTACATCATAAGTTCTCAATCAATACTTGTCGAATAAATGAGTGAACATATTTTCATGTCGTTAAACATTTTTCTCTGGCCTCCTTTATCATCACCATTGCATAGAATTGCACTGTGTGAATTATGATGCTGGACCTAACCAGGTCCCAGAGAGCTGAGGGGGAACACGAGTGTGATGGATACAAAGGTGCCCATGCAGTCCCTCAAGAGGATCTGTGCTGCCCAGCTGCTGGGAGTACTGGCAGCTCCAGCCTCCACTGTCAACCCCCTTCAGGAATTGCATCAGCCACAGAAAGCCCCCTTTCCAGGGCGACCCATATCTGAAGACTGATCACAGAGGGGCCCACTGCAGAGCAACTGTGGTAGGGCATCCTCCGATGTTTCCTGGAGCTGGAAAAGGGGTGCTGCCTGAGGCTGTCCCATCTGCAAAGCAGCTCGACTTCTCTCTCTGCCCAATCCTATTTCTTCCCTTTCCCTTTTATGGGTGTTTGATCCCTAGCAAATATACTGCACACAACGCTCTGTCTCAGAGTTGATGTCCTGAAAAACCTAACCTGTTACAGAGATGGTCCTGACCCATGAGAACTTGTGAGTCTGTTGATTAAAGCACCCAGTGAATTCTAACATTACTGCCATTACCCATCACTAACACCAGGCAAAATTAAACTGTAATGCATGTCTACCATGAGGTGTTACGCAGCCATTAAAAGAAATATGTGGGCCGGCCGAGTGGCGCGACGGTTAAGAACTCGCTTGGGATGCCAGAGGGCCCCGATTCGGATCCCACATATGAGGGCCAGTGAACACTGCCCTCCACAGCTAAGATGCTGAACAACAGCTCAACCTGGAGCTGGGCTGCCGTGAGTTGCTGGCGACGGCGTAGGCTGCAGTCCCTGTGGCAGTGGGTTGCCATGGGCTACCGTGTGTAGCCAGCAGCCAGCGGGAGCGGCCAGCTGCCGCCGTGAGCGGCCGTCCAGAAGCAGGTGACTGATCTGCCTCTCCAGGGAAGAGCGCAATGATGGTGCCAACTTGGGCAAGTGAAGCAACGTCCTCCACAACTAGATTGAAGAACAAAACGACAGCAACTTGTCTGTTCCCCTTCCCCNTTGAAGAACAAAACGACAGCAACTTGTCTGTTCCCCTTCCCCTAATTCCCCAGCACTGTTCCCATCCCCCCAATTCCCCAATAAAAATTTAAAAAAAAAAAAAGAAATATGTGACTTCTTTTGTTCAGATAGTGTTGGTGCTGTGTATGACATATGGTGGCTCCAGAAAAAGTCAGGAAAGAAAGTGGGAGGGGAGGGGACAGGAGGGGAAGGGAGATGGCGGGGGAGGGGGAAGTGGACATCAGCAAATCAAATGATTACTTGAGCCCTCTCTCTATGACTGAATTTCTCCCAATCTGTTTATAGATTGCTTGCCCCCTACTAGTCTTTGAACCCCCTCAGTGCCTCAGTGTGAGAATTACTTGGGCAATGACTATCCCCATAAACGTAGCATATGCAAGTTATAAAAACTGAAACTAGACATGATGTTGAGCAGATAAACGTGAACCAGCGTGACTATGAACAGTCAGAACCATAGATAGGCCTTTGAAATGCACAATAGCAGGATAAAGGATCACAACCACACTAATAAAAACAAATCCAACCAAAATAAAAACAAAAGTCCTGAGAGTGTGTTCAAGGGAAGCTCAGATCTAGGAGGAATCCAGAGGACGGACGAGCTGAGCCCTGCCTGTCAAGGTGTTTCCATCTGTCAGAACCACACATTCCAAAGCAGCAGAAGTTTACTGACCGAAAACTTCCTGTTACATCTGACCTCCGGAGGCAGGCTCAGGCAGAATCAGGCTCAGCCCATGTGAGATGCCTCCTCCCAATCACAGACCACCCTTCCCTGGTCCTGAAGGTTCAAAGAATTCTTCCAGGGTAGAAAAGCATCACAGGCTAGCTTGGCTTGCAGAGTGGGCCAGCACAGGACCAAGAGGAGGAGGAAAGGGTACCGTGAGTAGACTCATTTCACTCTGCAGGGAAGGCAACTGGGCTCTCAAGAGTTTGGGTTACTTTCTGGGGAGGAGAATGGGAGGTCTGACCATTCAAGGGAAAAGGGGAAGAAATTCATTTCCTGTCATTTTTTATAATTTAGGACATTGTGACTGTTCTGTTCTCTTTCACTTTATACAAATTGCTTTCTTAAACGCTTTGATATTATCCAGTTCTCAGAACTGTGATTAAAGTTCTGCTGAGGGTATTACTCATCCATCCTGATTTCGACCTCAAGTTTCCTCACAGGAAGACCAAGAAAAATCCAAGAGCCCTGGGAAAACCAGTACCTCATGATTAAATCTCAGATAGATAGCCTTTGTGGACCCCCAGTTTCCTTGGGAAGTCAGAAAAGCAAAAGAAATTTTAAAGAAACTGGCCATGTTCTTTTCTAATATTCTATCTCAGCCTAGCAGAAAGAAAGTGCTCTGGTCTCCTGGTCTGAAATCATTTTGTCTTGCCAACTCATAAAGGGATTTGTGAGGCAACTTACTCAGAATTCTTCTCTGCAAACTGTTCTGCTTAATAAATGTGTCAGTTGAAATAAGTCAACAAATTAGCTTTTTTTTTACATAATTTATATTTTCGTAAAAGAAATATTTCGTTATTTTTACATAATTTATATTTCCACCAATTAGTTTATCCACCAAAAGCTGCAGGTTCTAAGTATATTTTTTGTTCTAATAACATTTCTGCATGTAACACAAATTAAGTTTCAAGTAATGCTAGTATTATTTTATGTTTATAAGCTTAAAACCCCAGTTATAACTAGCTTTAAATATTTTTATGGTTTTTGAATTTTCATTAATTTTAATGTCTTTTTGAATCAAAGACAATGTTTATTGACCATTTCTTGCCTGACTTGAGTTGCTAAGCATAAGAAAGAGCTCACTTAGATTGATTTTATATATCTACATATTTCAATTAAATATATATATATATAAAACTTGAGTTATATAGTTTTCAAACTTTGTAAAGAAATGGGGTTTTTTTTTATTAACTTTTCTTAATGAGGAGAAAAATTTTTTTGTTTGCTTTCTGCTACAACAGACTTTTTTGCTTTCTGCTACAATAGGCTTAAAAATCAACTCACCTATTTTTTTTTTAACTACCTGGAAAGAATCGTAGACTTTTAGATGCAAAGGGGACCTTAGATACCATCTTAATTAAGAAAAACAAAACTGCAATCTCAGAATTTCTTTTTTGATCTCTCCCCTTACATTCTTACCCAGAGCAAACACTGATCAGCCCTAGAATATGCTGCACCCTGCTGCTGGAATCTGGGCCTCATGGCCATGTAGGCTGCCCACATCCCTGAAGGGCTACTGTTTCTTCACTGGGGCAAAGACCAAATTCATGAGGGGGTACTCTGATCTCACATCCTCCAAGGATAGTATTGCTGCCCTGAAGTTGGACATCCTACTGGCAGGGCGCATGCCTGAGGTCCTCACTTAGCTGAGAGTGCCTGAGCCATTGCTCATCTTAGCCCTTGATTTTAGGTGGGTGAATGACTCTGAGATCATCACAGCAAGCATCAGGAGCCTAGAGTCGTGTTAGCCCATAGAACTTTCTGTGAGGATGGAAATGTTCTATACAATAGCCACTAACCACATGTGGCTATTGAGCACTTGAGATGTAGCTGGCATAACTAAAAACTGAATTTTTATTTAAAATAATTTGAATATAAACAACTACATGTAGCTACTAGCTACCATTTTAGTCAGAGCAGGTTTAGAGCTTTAAAGCAAGAAAAACTAGTGGGTGCTGTGATCTGTGGGTAACATGGCCATGAGAACAAGCTCCTCTTTTTATCACTCCCAGAGACTCATCCTACCCTAAACTTAAGGAGACCAGCAATTGTTCTGATTGGGAAACCTCCACACCCATCTTTATTCTCACCTCTTAAGTCATACAATTGTCTACTCTTGTTCTGGGTCTCAGGGTCAGGGCTAAAGCAACAGCATATTGTGTTCCTTGTTTGTTCTCTCCTATTTCTCCTATCATTTTCTTTTGTTAATCCAAATTTCTCTTGCATGAGCTAGAGTTTGAGGTGTGGTTTGTGTTATTTGGTTCAACAAACTTGGAGGAGGAAAAGAGGTAATGATGAACTTGAAAAAAATGAGCTCATGTTTGTTAAGTGAGTCTCACTTCTTGTTCTGCTATTTGAAAATGGATTTGTTTAGTGAGCAATCAATGGCTTTTAGACCTATTTAATGTGTCTGGAAACGACAACACTATGAATATGAATAACATTTGTAAGACAACAAACTGAATGAAGGCACAAGGAAAAAAAAGAAATTAAACTCTAGCCTTTTAAAGTATCTCTACTCCTCAGAGCAAAAGAACTCCCAGGATATTGAGCAATTTGAGTAAATCATTATGGTGCCAGGCCACTGGGCAGTTTTCCACAGGGTGGGGCTCACAGGAGTTGTTCCGTATGTACGTGGAAAACACTTTGAGGTGAGCTGCACTCTTTCAGCCAGGGACAATATCGTTTCTGAAGTGGATAGCTGCTTCTCTGCCCTCTACCAATCCCACTTTTTAAAACTCACTGTATTCCATTTGCATTCTTTCTAGCCCTGCCAGTTAAAAAAATGAAAAGAAAAATCTAATACATATGAGGGAAGTGCTACTTTGAAATAACACAAGAAAGTTTCAGTAGACCCCATATTTGGGATCTCAAACGGAGGGAAGAAAGGAAGATACATCAGACTATCAGGAGTCAGTCTCTATCCAGAGATTGCTTCAAGCCCCAAATCGTGAGTTAGGAGGTTTGTCTTTTTAGGTTCTACCTTCTCCTTGGGTCACTTTCCTTCTCATGGGGTCTTCCCTCTCTCTTTGGAAATATGAGGATGGAATCTGATTACATCATTCACAATGAGGCATTGACATCGATGGCCCATGAGACTCAATGTGCCTCTTTTATGTATAGTATCTGAATTCTAATCAGAAACAGCATAGAGTGATTCTCTAGCTGTGAGATTTTGTCAGTTAGGGTGAAGAGTGAAGAAATTTTTGAATGGAGGGTGAGAGAAGGCTCTCTCCTTTCCAGCTTTGTTATGTGCCTACCCCTGAGGCTTAACTTGTAAGGGGAAAGGGCAGGGTGCTGGGAGTTTCTCTTAACTTTAAAGAAATACAAAGGGAGATAATATCTCCCTACCTTAAAAAGAAAAATGATTAGCATCAAATTCAACATAAGGCTGGCTTAAGAGTCAGGAGATCAGAACTCGAATTTTGACTCTGAAACGACACATGACAAATGGTCTTGAGCAAGTCACTGCCCCTCTTGGAGCCTTACTTTCCTCATCTGTACAATGAAGGGGCTGACTACCAAGCCTCTAAGTGCCCAGTCAGAGCTGATATTCTATCATGATATGAATGGGCACATGGCCAATAATGGCACTAGGATAAAAAACACCTTAATTTCTCCCTAATCACATACCTTTCTAGTAAGACAAAAACTACCAAGAGTGTAGTCATTGACTTTTAGGTGTGCTCATCAATTAATTTGAAAGTCTATAAATTGTTTCATTAGGGCAATTATTTGTCAAATTGGCTTTTTTTTTTTCATGTACAGCAACCTATTCCTTTGTGGGTTCAGAATAACTCATTAAACAAATTTGGGTAAAGAAAAGAGGTAACAAAACACCAGGCTGGATTGCCATGGAAGAGGGTAACAGGGGAGAAAAGCCACACACACACATAACCACCAAACAGGAAGTGATTTGAGCTCCCCTGAAGAGCTGTTTGCTTAAGGCAGAAAGAAGTCACATAGAAAAGAAAGGATAATTTTGAGCAAGGGCTCTTGGGGAAAGAGGTTTTTCAGATGAGCTTCGGAAGATGGTAAAGAGTTCAATAGGCAGAAATGAGAGAAGGGATCCCAAAAGGAAAGACAACCTGAGCACAACCTGGACACATGACCAGGGCACTCAGGGGAGCAGAGGAAACTAAGCAGCAGGACATTTGAAACTTGGTTGGTACTGTCTTGAATACAAGGTAAGGAGCTTGTGCTTTATCTCTTAGGTTTTCCAAACTCTCTTCCACAGACTAGAAGGAGAATGAAATGGTAGGGTCTGGACAAATACTGTAGATACAGGCAAAGGAAAGGCATTGGTCTGTCTCCAAGCGCTTAAAGGTCCAAAAGTTTTCAAATTCAAGGGAGGAGAACAAGAGAAATCTGGATTTGAAGAAACTGATCAGCAGGAGAGAATGGGTGGCCACTGGAGTCATCTGGCAATAGGAAGTTGGAGTCTGTGGCAGAGCTTGTGGGTATAGTGGGAGCTGTGTAGGGCTCTCCTTTGAACGGAAGCCATAGGGAGCTTTTGTAGGTGTTTAAGCAGGGGAGTGATACAAAATCAGAGCTGTGTGTTACAACAGTGGATCTCAAGACTGATTAAGTGGCTGGCACTTAGAGGGCATGTTTATCTTTGCAGAACACCACAAAGTGTTGATATATTAAATTTGAAATAATTAAGTAGATCATTTTGGCCTAAATTCATACTGTAAACTAGATTCTTGCTAGAGAGGTAGTAGCAAGCACCAAAGGTTTAAGAAACATTTGTGAGACGAAAATCCTTAACATGACAGATTTTAATCATCAGTTTTTCTTCAAATTAGGAAATGATTGCAATTATTCAATTCCAGCATCAAAACATGTTGCCCCAGTAGGAGGAACACCTGTGCTCTGTAGGATCATTTGAGAACCTCTGCTATAGAAGTTCGCTCTGGAAGCACTGTGTGGAATGGAAACAGAAACTGTTGAATTCACCAGAGTTAGGGACTGGCAGTGGGAATTGAAAGGAAAAGGTAAAATGGTCTTAGGAAACATCCAGAAATGATCACTTACTTCAAAGAATTGGTTCCCATGGTTGCTAGGGGCTGGCAAAATCCAGCAGCCTGAAAATCCCAGTAAGAAGTTGATGTTGCAGCCTTGAGTCTGAAGCTATGTAATATCAATTTACACATTTCGACCAAGGTTTTCCAACTTTGCTCTTGAGTATCTTCCAACTTGTTAGGTCATTGCCTTCTGAGCTCAGTAATTTGCCTACGGGTTTCTTTACTGTTAATTCCGGATTAGTAGTTTCCAACCACTGCGAGGCTAGCCAGGTTGTTAGGAAGTTTAGACCTGATAAAGGGAAGCTCTGGGAGGCCCAGATTCCCTACTCTTACTGCAGTCAAATTTGATCTGTTTTTATATATTGGAGTTCCATATTGAAATTATATTTCTTTGAAAATATGACTGTGTTTTAAAACAAAATTAAATCATTAGTTTTAGGTGCCTTCACCATTCACTAGTCTATTAGCTCTGGCCTGTTTGCCTCAAGTAACTGAGGCAAAAGTAAAGAAAATTAATATTGCTTGGGTAACTAATATTGTGTTAGAACTTCACATATAGTCTCATTTTATTTTCACAATAGCCCTTTAAGTATTACAAAACTCATTTAGAGATAAAGCTCAACAAGATTAAGTAACTACCCGAGGTCACAAAACTGCTAAGTGGTGAAGCTAAGGTGCAAACCACGTCTGCCCAAAGCCCACGTTCTTTCTACTTCACCATACTCTCTAACCCAGCGGTTCTCAACCCCTTTGGGGGTCAAACGACCCTTTCACAGGGGTCGCCTAAGACCATCGGAAAACAAAAAGATACTTACCTGATGATTCATAACAGTAGCAAAATTACAGTTATAGAGTAGCAACGAAAATAATTTTATGGTTGGGGGTCACCACAACATGAGGAACTGTATTAAGGGGTCGCGGCATTAGGAAGGTTGAGAACCGCTGCAATCTGTTCCGCTATAAAGATCTAGGCAAATAATTCACTCATATTCATTCATTCATTCATTCAAATATACACTTTTTAAATTTTATCTGCCCTTTTATTTAGCAAAATAACTTATTGAGTGCCTATTATGTGTCAAGCACTGTCACCTTGGACCTAGAAAGGCAAATAAATGAGGGTTCCAGTGTTTTCTCCTTCTTTGGAGACTCTTGCAGTAAAGCACAGAAGGCCTGCATAGGTTTGTTGATGGGGGAAGAAAGAAGGCACAAGGGGAGCAGAACAGAGTCCTTCCTGAGTAATTTCTGCATCAGAAAGAAAGCAGCCCTCGTACAAAGGAGAATCTCAAGGGCCATCTCTGCACCAGTTCACAGTCTGGAGCAGGGGCCCCAGAGAAGGCCAAAACCAGAGAGATGAGGCCCAGTGGGAGGTGTTAACTGTGCAGGAATGCTGGTGGAATGCACCCAGGGCCCTCCCATATGGACGTGCTGCCTGGTACCTGACTCTGGCCACCACCCAAGCACAACTGGGAAGCTTTGGTTCCTCTCCCCCGCAACCGAAAATATTCCCCCATGAATCCTTCTGTGCAAAATAAAAGGCACACGTGGGTAAGGCTTCCAGGCCTCTCCAGCAGAGCAGCCCCTGGGCAGGGAGCAGAAGGAATTTGCAAAGGGCTGCTTCACCCCAACCTAGGAGCCCCTGGCCGTGGGACCTGTCTCCTAGAACCTCCCTTCTAGGCCCCAAGGGTCACTGGTACATAAAACAAAACCATACCCAATATCCTCCACTTCCTAAATATCCCCATGGTTATTATTCATAATTTCATGTGTTTGTAAACACTTTCAGTGTTTGCCAACCACTTCTGCATCTTTTATTTTAGTGGTCATAGCAACCCCATGAAACAAGTTGGGGTTCACCCATTTTACAAATGTAGAAGGAGACGCTGAGTGGCGTTGCCCAGGGTTACACAGTAAGGACAGGCCTGACTGGGGCATTCTGCCAGGTCCAGTGTGCTCACCGTCAGACCACAGCCTCGAGACCACACCGTGAGCCAGTCACCAGAAGCCTATACTTGACTCCCTAACTGCCTTCCCTCCTGACTTTTGTGGCTTTTTGGGAGACTGCAACAAAAGTTTTAGGCCCTCTAGACACCGCCATCATCTAAAAACAAGTGGCTAAGGAGAGGCTATGAAATGTGGACTGTCACATTGATCTGCACATTCACACCTCTTACTTCCAAGAATTTCAGTCCCAAGGGGTAGATGAGAGAGCTGCAGATTTGGTATACATTGAGACAGGTTTTCTGGAAAAACATGTGGGTGCAGCCCTGGGTTTGGGGAAAATGTGTAAATATTAGTGCAGTGTCAAGGGGCTAAGGAGACAAGAACCTGGAGAAGTGAGTGAAGAGGCTCCCGGTGATTCTGACCTTGGCAAAGGCAGGGTCATCTGAGCAGGGAAAATGCGTCTGCTCTCTCTGCTCCAGGGGTTGGCAGAGAAGCGAGCCAGGTGTTTCTTTTCCTCCTGAAAGTATTAGCTATGAGGTACAACTTTATAAACTGCGGTGTTAAGTAAATGATCTGGAGCCAGGGAGACCTGGGTTTGAATCTCAGCTTTTGCATTTTCTAACCATGTGGACTTGGGCAAAGTAATTCATCTCTTTAAACCTCCTTGTCTCCATCTGCAAAATGACAAGAAAACAAATCCTTCCCCTAGATCCCCTAGGAAGAGGGCATCTCTGCTGACACATTTCACACTTCTGACCTCCAAAACTGTAAGAGGATACCTTTCATTGGTGTTGTTTTAAGCCACTAAGTTTCTGGTAATTTGTTACAGCAGCCATAGGAAACTAATAAAGATTTTGGTCAAAGTACCATCTCTCAGGTTTGTTGAGAGGATGAACCTAAGTGCCTACCATGTGCTGGGAACATCATAAGTGCTCATTAAATGACAGCTTTCATCAGCATTTTGAATTTTTGGAAGACAGGAGTGACTTTCTAAGTTGTTCTGTGCCACTGATGCCAAAGGCCTGAAGGAGGAGAGGAGAACATATGATGAAAAGGGAGAGAAATCTAGTGGCCAGCAACTTCAGACTTGTCCATCCATCTGTGCCAGCCATCCATAGAGCAACCCACAGCCAGGCTGCCTCCTGGCCTTTCCTACCACGTGTTTGTCTAGGTTTCTTCAGTTCACTTTTCCTTTTGCTCAAACCCCATCTACCTCTTTCCTTCTTTTCTCCTACTTTTGTCTGCATTTTTCCCACCCTGATTCTGACTTGCAGGTCTCCCACAGAAGATTCATTTGTCTACCCCTGCTTTTTAAAATCCTGTGTCATAGAGTTGTCTTTGGGAAAGTATGTATTTTATAGGACTCAATGGAGTCACTGGGGCCAAGCCCCTTTTCAGGGTTCCTTCAGCTCATTTCTGGACCAATAAAGACCCTCTTTGGGGGCCTACCTACCTTCTTCCTTTTGTCTATGGCCCTATCTCCCTCTTTATTCTATAACGTACAGTCAGTCATTGTTGCATTGAATCCATGTTGTTGTAATCACACTTTAAGTTCCATGAAAGAACAAATTGTGTTTTGTCTGTTCTTTAGGTCCAACTGATCACCACAAATGGGCTGGTACCTGACAAATCGGTGCATAGTCTGTAGTGGTTGATCATGGAACTGCATTTGGCCTCTCCAGATTTTTGCCCTTTACTCTCTATATTTGTGTTGTCTGAACTTCTACCTTTCACGGTCTATTTATTTGTGTTTCAAGTTTAAATGGTAACTCAACTGGTCAGGAGTAATGTGTGTGCATACCAGTAATGAACTTTACAATGTGACTGACCCAGCTACGTGAGTAAGGTTCCCCTTGGGAGAGCTTGTGCATTAACTCATTCAGGGCACTCGGGTTCCTCTCAGCCTAGTGTATAACAATCTCTGGAATGAATGACATATCTAAGCATGAAATGACATTTCTAAGCAGAAACTACACTTAGGGACCTTGTCACAATGGCCCAGATTCTTCTATTCATTCAGCACACATTGAAGGAGGACCCACTAGGTGCCCAACTCTGGGCCAAAAACACTTAGAAATGTTAACTCCTTCAATTCCCACGGCTACTCAAGTGAACAGGAAAGGGAAAATATTTAGAGATGTTTAAGATTACTTGGAAGGTAATATAATATTTATATTAGAGTGTAACAATGAAGTTAAAATTTAGCAAGGTCTGAGTCAAACAGAAGGCTTCCTCCCACTGATCCCCACACAAACCCAGACTACAGCCAAACTGGCTAGTTTGTTATCTCATGGGCTCCTGGCTTTATCAGCACTGTAGTCCCTGATATTTCTTTTCCCTTCACCTTGCTTTCCTCCCACACCCACCCACCCCTTGTCTACTTATCAGAACCATACATATTCTGCAAGGCTTACATTTTCCCTCCTCAGAAGCCCCTATCAGCGGTTCTCAACCTTCCTAATGCCGTGACCCCTTAATACAGTTCCTCATGTTGTGGTGACCCCCAACCATAAAATTATTTTCGTTGCTACTCTATAA